AGGACAGCCTGGTGAGGCAGCACATCAGTTTCTGGAACAGTTCCTGAAATAAATCTGCCTCACCATATACCCTGTGAACACATTTGGGTACTTATTTTTGTGTGTGCTGGGAATGGAACCCAGGCTCTAGAGCACGCTAGGCAAGGGCTCTACCACAGAGCCACACCCCAGTCCAGGGTATTCCAGGTAAGGAATAAGATCCCTTGAAGCTTTTTTATCAGAAAGTTAGGCTATGATTCTATAAAATCCACAGATATTTTTTCCCCTCCAGGTGAGGTAGGAAATTGAGCTATTTATTTTCTAAGGAAGACTCTGGAAGTTACACTGTAGGTCTTATTATTCCGGGGTTATCCTTGGCTACTGTGACTGTGGTTACAATGTTCCCTGTGTGTATCTAATCTAAGCAGCAATCCTGCCCTGTAAGTCTGAACTAGCTTCCACTTACACAGGAACCTCTGGAGACCTGAAGTGGCTTGAGCTCACTATGTCACTATTTACACAGGACTCCCTGCTCTGTTGGCCCCATCAGCCAAGGTGTTCTCACTATGCTACGCCAATGTAGACAGTTGATCACAGGCCTAACATGCACGGGGCCCTGGGTTCCTTTTGTAGTACTGCAAAAAAACAGTGTCTGGCAAGACACTATTCAAAGCACCATTTACACAACATGTTACCGTTCCACCCAAAGCCATCAGGACAACACTACTGCATTCTCTTTCAGACAGATAAGAAAATGCAGGCACGGAGAGGTCAACCTGCCCAAAGTCATTTGTTAAGATGGAGGTGCCTCAATCCTAACAATGACAACCAACTCATCCCAACTGGCCTAGAACTTGTCCAGTTTCAATGCTGGAAGTCCAGAATCTCAGGAGCCCTAGGCAGTTGTGTTCAGGTGGTGAGGGCTAAGTACCTGACTGTTCTGCCTACTTTGCAGGTCTGTCACATGGATCCTAAAAGGTAACAGCACTTATTTAAAGCTCAAGTGCCAGGCACCATGCTACATAACTGACAGCTCACTGAATTCTCCCAAGCACCATTATGTAATGAAGACCCTGTTTCTCAGAGAGGTCTGGTGACTTTCCCAAGGCTACACAGCTGGTAGGAGGAAGTGTCAAGATTTGAGTCTAGGGTCACTGCCAGAGCCTGGGTGGTTGGTTATTCAGTGAATTAAACTGTAAAAGCATTTAGCAGCAGGGAAGTTCAAGCAAACTTAGGCATCTCTAGACATGCTTCCCTTTGCACAAAATGAATGACATGTGACAACCTTCAAACTGGATTTAATCATTTCCATTTCTAAAAACCTATGTCCATGCTTACTATCACTGGGCCTAGTTTCAGAAACCACCACAAAGCTTTGATGTGTAATGACCAGGAATTTCAACTCTCTCTAACTTCCACACCTTTCAAAGGGGAACTGACACGTGGTGCCGTGTTCAGGCTCACTTATTACAACAGGGAACCCCCAAAAGATCACAGTAGAGACCCCACACCCAGCTTCATCCAGGAAGGATTCCAAATTTCTGCCCTTGCCTTATACAGGGTGATGTTCGAGGCGTGGGGGAAATGCAGCGTGGCCACAAACAGGTGGACATAGTCACTGTTCAGACCGCCCTCGTAAATATTCTCGGCGATGATCTTGCTGACAAAATTTTTCCCCGTGCCGGTCCACCCGTGCAAGGAGAGCGTGAGAGGTTTCTTGGGCCTCGGGTTGCTCAGGAAACCAGACACAGCGTTTAAAATCACTTTCTTTGCAAGATGCTGTCCAAAGAGTTTCTTATCCAGATCCTTCTGCAGTGCTGGGAAAAAAGAAAGCCAGTCGGGGGAGGGCGGAGAGGGCAGGCCCGCGGGCTCCGCCGAGCACCGACCCCGCCGGCTCCTCCCACCCGAGGCCGCGGCCAGGGGCGCCCGGGCAGCGCTCCAGCCTCCCGGCGGGCTCCCCCGGGTCCGGTCCCTAGCCCGCGAGCAGAGTGCGGCCGGCCGCCGCGGCGGTGTCACCTGCAGCCCCCCGCAGCCCCGGCCCCCGCCCGGCGCGCCTACCCTCCCGGCTCAGGCTCCGCTTCTGGCCGCAGCACTCGGCGAAGAGGCAGTAGAGGCGCGGGTAGGAGATGTAGCCGGTCAGCACGCCGGCCAGGGCCAGCCCCAGGCTGATGGGCTCCACCGCCCGCACCACCCACGGCGCCAGGAGCAGCAGGGCCAGCACGGCCCGGCCCAGCTTCATGCCCGGACCCGCGCCGCCCTGCGCGAGCCTGCGCCGACCCTGCACCCGCGCGACCGCCAGCAGCACGCTTCCGCTTCCGCCCCGCGGTGGCCGCCCTCTTTGTTTGGGGCAGTCCCGCCCCTGGAGCGTGAGGCCGCCATCTTTGTTAGGGGCAGCCCCCGACATCGCACCTCCTCTTCTGAAATGTGTTTTGTAGATATCCGCTGATAGTTACGTGTTTTTTGTTTGTTTGTTTGTTTTTAAGACAGTTTTAGGTTTACAGAAAAATTGAGAAGGTCAGAGGGTTCCCACATACCATCTCCCCTAGTTTCCATTATTAATTTTTTAAAAAGTTGTGGTAAGAATCGAACCCAGGGCCTCACACATGCTAGGCAAGCGCTCTTCCATTAAGCTACGACCCCAGCCCATCCATTATTAAAATCTTTTTTTTTTTTTTTTTTTTGGGGGGGGGTTTTTTTTTTTTTTTTTTTAATATTTATTTTTAGTTTTCGGTGGACACATCATCTTTATTTTATTTGTATGTGGTGCTGAGGATTGAACCCGGCCCGCGCATGCCAGGCGAGCGCGCTACCGCTTGAGCCACATCCCCAGCCCAAAATCTTATATTATTAGAATCTTATATGCTACATTTGTTACAATTAATGAACCACTCGATAGATTAACTAAAGTCTGTAGTTATTCACATTCCCTTACTTTTATTTAATTCTTTCTTGCACACCACATTTAGTTGTGATGTCTCTTCTTAATTGTGACTTCTGCAGAATTAACTTTTTTTTTTTTTTTAAGATCTTGCCTTGATAGTTTTGAGAAGTACTGGTCTGGCCTGAATTTTTTTGATTGTTGTTTTGTTGTGGTGGTGATAAGGATGAAACCCAGGTCCTCATGTATTCAAACAAAAAAAAATGAGGCACATGTGGTTCCTGCCTCTGTGACCTTGCATGCTACTAGAGCTGGGTATTCTCCACTTTATAGATGAGAAAACAGATTTAGAGGGAAAGGGATTTGTCCAAGGACACAATTAACCAGGAGCAGGGCTCAGATGTGACCTCGGAGCCAAATTCCTGTAGACTCAGCACCCACCCTACATCAGCTCAGGAGTCAACAGACTGCTCCTTCCCTGTTGTGATGCCTGTGTCAATGCCTCAGGGAAAATAGCAGCAAGTTTGGGAAGGTACTTGACAGGCTGGGGCATGTCCATGTCTTTTGAATTAAAGGAGAAAAATCTATTTTAGTAATTCAGTTTTACATTTGAGTTACTCCACCCCAGGCTTTGAAAACATTATCTGATGTTAATGTAAAGAAATATAATACAAACAATAAGGTGGGTTTCATTTTCAATTCCATCACTGTTTTAAAAGTGATAAGAAATGCAGTTTTTCTTTTTTAGTGATACAACCTAGGAGCACACCACTGAACCATATCTCTACCCCATTTTATTTTTTTTTATTATTATTATTTTTTACTCGAACAATTCTTTTTTATTTTTATTTATTTATTTATTTATTTTTACTTTTTGGCGGACACAACATCTTTGTTTGTATGTGGTGCTGAGGATCGAACCCGGGCCGCACGCATGCCAGGCAAGCGCGCTACCGCTTGAGCCACATCCCCAGTCCCCCATTTTATTTTTTTGAAACAGGGTCTATGTGGGAGACCAACCTTACACATGACTGAGTCACACTCCCCGGCTGGATGCTGAGGTGCTCAGTCACAGAAATGTGACAGAGTTTTCCCCACCCTTCTTGGGTTTGAGGGCCAGTGTCTCCTGCATGGGTGTGTCTTGCTACAGCCCCATGGGTGAAGCTATGCTCACTGTTCCTTTGTAATATAACCCCTTGCCCTGTTTAGGATAGAATCTTCCATGGAAGTGCCTTGTGTGTGTCCCCTTCTCTTACTGTGCCCTTGGGTGTGGCCTACCCAGGTGTCAGTCAACCTGCTGACAGTGGACATCATGAAGATACTCAGCCCCCTGAAGGTCTAAGTTGCCCAGGCTGGTCTCAAACCTGCAATCCTCCTGCCTCAGCCTCCATAGTAGCTGGAATTATAGATGTGCACCACTGTCTCAGCTTAATTTTTTTTTTTTTTCATTTAGAGCGAGGGTCTCACTAAGTTGGTTAGTGCCGTGCTAAGCTGCTGAGGCTGGCTTTGAAATTGTAATGGATCCTGCCTCAGTCTCCCAAGTCACTGGAATTACAGGTGTGCGCTACGGCACCCGAATCAATTTTTCTTTTTTTTTTAAATATTTTTTTATTTTTTATTTTTAGGTGGACACAATATCTTTATTTTATTTTTACGTGGTGCTGAGAATCGAATCCAGTGTCTCACCATGTTAGGCAAGTACGCTACCACTTGAGCCACATCCCCAGCCCCTCAGTTTTTCTTTTTTAATGAAGAGAAACAGGTAACTTTGTATAAGTCAGAAATACTAATATCTCTGATCCCATCCCATGTTTTCTGCTGTCTGCTGGACCTACTCTAAGCAAAAAAGGATGCAGACTCAAACCCTATTCCAAATGCACAAAAGCAAAAGACCTGATCATGTGTGCTCTTGGAAGCACAGTATGAAGGATGTCATCCTACCAGGAGCAACATAGGGCTGTGCCCTCTGACTCAGAACAGCACTAAGAGAAGTCAGGGGGCTGGGGCGGGGGCTCAGCAGTAGCACACTTGCCTAGATGTGTGAGGCACTGGGTTCGATTCTCAGCACTGCATATAAATAAATGAAATAAAGGTCTGTCAACAACTAAAAAATATATTTAAAGAAAAAAAGAGAAAGTCAACATATTTACAAACAAGATTTAATGATGCTCATAGGAACAGTTTGCCCCCAAATAGGAAAACTACCCAGTTTTGTTTCAAAAAGTCACAAATTCAGTGCTTGAAAGCCAGCAGGAAGCAGCGGCACCAAGCCTGCCCAGCAGGGACAGCCCAGGCCTTCTCAGTACCGCCTGTTCATCTTCTTGAACTTCTCATAGTGGTAGTCATCAGTGGCCTTCTCATTAGCAGGACGTTTGCGGTTAGGAGGGGACCCTGAGGAGAAGAGGAGACAGTCTGCCACACTGGAACCCACCACGAGACCCTGCTGCTCACAGGCCAGGGCCACACCATCTGGTTCCCTGTGGCTAGGCCAGTGCATACAGCACGGGAGGGCCTGGGGTGAGTATGTTTTATTTTTGCTGTCTGAACTTTCCCAGCTTGTCTCTCCTGTACTTGGTCATAGAGTGAATCCTTAGAACAGCCCCAAGTGGTGAGTTCTGTTACCATCCCCATCTTATAAATGAAGCCGCTGAGGCTTGGAAAGGGATGGGCCAGAGCATGGATGAGAACCAGGATGCCCTGGCCCAAAGCCAGAGCTCCGCCCTCCCCCGCCCGCCCTGGCCTGCACAGTCCTCCTGGGAACCGGGGCCTCAGCTGTACTCACGCTCAGGCTCTGGCTTCTCCGTGTCACCCACTCGCAATGGCCGGGCTTTGGGCTCCTCTTTGTTTCTCCGGATGGGAGCATTGAGCTCCTCATGATAAACTGGACCACAAGAGAGCAGAGCACACGTCAGACAGACTGCGGGGCTCCTGGGCACCTAGCCCAACGTGGGGGACGGCAGGGCTGCTTGCCAGAGCGCTTACATCGGTTGTGTTGCACGTAATTCACAGCCATGTTCGTGGGCACGAAGGATGTCTCACTGTCTTTCTTCTTGTTCTGCTGCTCTGCCAGCAGGCGAGCCTTGGCATCCTCCGTGGAAATTATATTTTTTATTTTTGCACTATGGGGAGAGAGGAATCAGAGCCCATGTTAGATCACAGCCCCTCTGGTATGCAGGTGGAATTCACTGGCGAGGCTGGCAGCCCACCCCTGTGTGGGGAAATGGTCTGTCCTAGGCAGGGCTCTCTACAGTTCACCAAGCGCCTTTACAGTCACGTTTTTGTGGACCATTTGTAGTCATGGGAGATCAGGAGCTGTTCCTCTCTTCTGATCAACAGGAAATCAAGCCTATAGTTCAAAGCCAGCAAGGCCAGGAAAGAGGTGAGAACCCAAGGTCTCCTGTCCACTCTCCCCAGTGGGGGTGTGGGTCATTGTATTTCTTTTGTCATACTCCCCCTCTAAGCAGGTATTTTGTAGTTAAAGTGAAAGGAGGATCATCGGGGAGCCTGGGGGAGCCTTTAACAGCTCCTGCTGGAGAACCCAGCGTAAAAGCCCAAGCTGGGAGCAGGAGGCGAGCAAGCACTTGTGCTCTCAGCGGTCAGGCCCTCAGGTCTCTCCGACCACTCTGACCAAGCCTCCAGAAAACTCCTGCAACAGCCTTCCAGAGAGAATGGAATTTATGCTTGTGGGTTTCCAAGGTCACAAGGAAGAAATGGTCCCCACGACTTTTAACTGGCAAACAGCTCTCCCGAGTGCCCAGGGCAGGGAGAGACAAGATGGGTCTAACACGCACTCGATGCCCAGGTCCACCTCGGGGATGCCACTCAGCATCTGGTTGGAAAGCATCTCCTCGGTCTTCTTTGCAGAGGAGACACGGATGTTTTCAGGAAGTTCATATAGACAGTCCTCTGCGTTCTTTGGCTTGATTTTCTGTTCCTCATGTTCCACAATCCCTTTCCTCTTCTTTAGCTCTGTCTCAATGTACTTCATCCTGAAAAGAGAAACCCACAGACATCAGAGAGGGCAAGAGCTCATGTTGGACATCTTCTAAATTAGGAGTTCCCAACACTGGCCCACAGATCCATGATGGTCCACGAGGAAATACTCTTCAGTTCCTGGAGAACTGAGAAAAAAATAACTTGTGATTTTTCAAGTTAGAAAATTTCAATTTAAGCTGGGCACAGTGGTGCACACCTGTAATCCCAGTGGCTTGGGAGGCTAAGGCAGGAGGATTGAGAGTTCAAAGCCAGCCTCAGCAACAGTGAGGTGCTTAACAACTCAGTGAGAGCCTGTCTCTAATAAAACACAAAATAGGACTGGGATGGGGCTCAGTGGCCAAGTGCCCCTGAGTTCAATTCCTGGTACCCTCCCCCAAAAAAGCAAATTTCAACTTAAAGTACCAACCTATATCGTGTCTTACCAATCTAGTGATGTTAAGCTTCTTTGAAGACAAAAAGCACAATATTCTGTGTATGGTTAGGCAAAAAAACATGACATGGTATGTATGATATACAAACTAAAATTAATGCCAACTCTCTGTTGATCCTGAAAGAAAGAGCAGTGAGGCAGAGACTCGAAGTCACCATTCAGTATGGCCAGCTTGTATGATATAAGAATGAAACAAGGACACAACAGAAAGCACAATATGTAGTTATTTTTGTTTTTTACTACACTGGGGAGTGAATCCAGGGGAATTCTACCATTGAGCTACAGCCTCAATCCCACCTTAAATTTTTTTTAAATTTTGAGACAGAATCCCACTAAGTTGCCCAGTCTGGTCTTGAACTGGACATCCTCCAGCCTCAGCCTATTGCTGGGATTAGAGGTGGTATTTGTTTTTTAAAGGATTTAGCAAAAGAATATGGGTAAGTTCATGCTTATTCCTGTAATATTTTGGGGAAATATCACTAGTCAAGGAATCTAAAATCCCAAGAACCACCCTTTAAAGAACTTTTAAAACGTTTTCTTCCTTCCTTCTTTTTTATTTTTTTTAAATATATTTAGTTGTAGATGGACATAATACCTTTATTTTTATGCGGTGCTGAGGATGGAACCCAGTACCTTCCACGTGTAAGGCAAGTGCTCTACCACTGAGCTACAACCCCAGCCCCCTTCCTTTCTTTTTTTCTACCAGGATTGAACCCAGAGGCACTTAATCACTGAGCCACGTTCCCAGCCCTTTTTGCTTTTTTTTTTTTTTTGAGATAAGGTGAGGCTGGCCACAAACTTAGGATCCTCCCTCCTCAGTCTCCCAAGTCTCTAGGATCACAGGTGCATGCCACCATGCCCAGCTTTTTAAGAGGTTTTCAAAGTTCTCAAGCCTGAGAGGCAGGGAGAGAGAGGTCAACTTTGGTGTCTTCTAGAGAACTCTAGAAATGTCAAATGTGACTAAGTATCATCTTAGACTTGTCTGACTTCAGCCCAGCCCCAGGTGCTCACAGCCAAACAGACTGGCACCTACATGTCTGCATCTTCATCCCTCCGGTTGGTTTCTGCAGAAAATGATGTCCCCAGATGAAGGTCCTCCTCTTCACTGATCCTGAAAGAAAGAGCAGTGAGGCAAAGACTCCAAGTCACCATTCAGTGTGGCCAGCTTGTATAAGAATGAAACAAGGACACAACAGAAAGCACAATATTCTGTTATGGTTGGGCAAAAAACATGACATGGTATGTATGATATACAAACTAAAATTAATGCCAACTATCTTGTTGGCTTCTGGTGATACCTCTGGGAAATTTATTTTTTAAGCTTTGTTATATTTGAATGTATTATTTTTAGAATGGTTTCGTGTTTGAAAGGTAATGAACAAAGCACTTTTACAAAGGGAGTCTACCTACTTGGCTCTGAGCTAAGTTTTAAAGTTTTGTTTCTTTTGAGTTGGGGGCAGGGGTTGGTGGGGACCAAACCTAGGGCCTGAGCATGCTAGGCACGTGCCCTTCTTTTGTTTTTAAATAACATGCCCTTTGCAAAGCACAAAGGATACTTCTAGATGTTTCATGAAAAGTACCACTGCAGGCCACCCTCCAACCCGTCTCTGAAGGTGCTTGGCCTGAGGCAGAGGCTGGCATGAATCTGCATCTGTCTACCCTCCACTTACTTATCTTTCCCCCTTTCCTTCAGTTTCTTCATGTCCACCATACCACCTGTCTTCATCTGAAAGGGATCATCCTGCAGAGAGCAAGCACAGTTAGAGGGAGCACCACAACACCAGCATGGCGATCACCACCATCATCATTATTATTTTTTCTAAAACACCAGGGATTGAACCCAGGGGTGCTTAATCACAGAGCTACATCCCCAAGCCTTTTTATTTTTTGAATAAAGGTCTTGCTAAGTTGCTTAGAGCCTCACTAAGTTGCTGAGGCTGACCCCAAACTTGTGATCCTCCTGCCTCATCCTCCAAGTGGCTGGGATTACAGGCATGCATCACCATGTCCAGCAGTCATCACTGATTTTAAGAACAGTCCCCTACAAAAGAGAAGCCACTGAGAGGACCCCATAACTTACCACTAGTGTGGTCTCTTCTTGTACCTTCTCTCCCACCAGCAGGGCAGCAGCACTGTGCAAAACAAAAGAAGAAATCACAATTCAGCAATAAGGAGGAACAGTCAGAAGTTTGTAGGATGCAACATAAGTATAAAGGGCAAGATCTGAGGGATAGACAAGAAAGCCAGGTGCAAAGTCCCACAATTAAATTAAAATGAAATGGCTTACTGTGGATGCTGAGGGCGAGGGGGAAGTAGTACACTTTCCTATAAAACCATTCATCATGTCTTGGCCTGAAAATCTCATTTCTAAGATTTTGTCATCAAGGAAAGTGCAGTAAAAAAAGACAAATGCAAGAGAATATCTGCTTCAGCCATCTTCAATGGTGAAAATTTATAAATGACCTACATAGATTTGTTAATAAATTGCAGCGCATAGTTCTGTTGGAATATTATACAGCCATTTTCTGAAAAGTATTCCACAATATGAGTGAATGCCCACAATGTTGTAATGAGTTGAAAAAAGCAAGAGAAAAAGTATGTATATCACATTGCTGAAAATCTTCACAAAAGAGAAAGAGGAAACAGACTGGAAAGAACCTTAAATGTTAACCTTAGTTACTTCTGGATCAGCAACTTATGAGTGCAGAGAGCAAGCATAAACATTATTTATCTATCTTTTGGTGCTGGGGATTGAAGCCAAGGGTTTTTAATCTATAAGCAACATCCCCAATTCTTTATATTTTTTGAGATAGAGCCTCCCTAAGCTGCTGAAGGTTTAACCAAGTTGCTGAGACTGACTTTGAACTTGTGATCCTCCTGCCTCAACCTCCCCAGTCACTGGAAGGTACTCTTTATTTGGACTATATTTTTTCCAAATTTCCTAACCTCTTAATAATCAATGTGTATTTCACAAAATTAATCGGGTGAATTAAAGTGCAAGTTCATGACCTGTTTCTGTACCTCTGGAGCGTTCCCAGAGACCACTGTTCTCTGGACATGTGGTTAAACGTCTACAAGCAACATTGGTCCCCTCTCCAAGCAGCAGAAGGTGTACGATGTGTTAATAAGAGCCATTTCTGAAATGTCTGTATGACAACCCAGGCAGGGGCGTGTCTGTCTTTACCACCGGCCAAGCACCCGGCTGTCCCCGTGGTACCCACCTCACCCCATTAGGCCTCTTTCTCAAGTTCTGCACCTCTCGGGTCTCTTCCAGTTTTAGCCTGGAAAAAAAAAAAAAAAAAGCAATGCCCAAGCTGAGAGATCCTCCGTAGAACCCAGAGCCAACAGGCTGCTTGGAGGGCACCCTGACCCCAAGCAGAGCCGCCGGCACAGTGGTCAAGAGACGGACCCTGCGCCTTGGACCCCTGGGAGTCAGATCCAGGCATATCCCGGGGCAACACCCCCATCTGTGCGGCCTGGGGCAACGGCCTCATACCCAGGAGCCTCAATTTCTTTGTCCAGAAGGATCAACAGCCCCAGCTCACAGTTAACTCAGTCTAGGAAGCGCCCGGTCAGTGGTCAGTCTCCCGCGCCAGTTTCTCTTTTCTAGGTCGGTGGAAGCCCCGCCCCAAACGCACCGAACCTCCTCCGAATCCTGCTCATCTTCCTCCGACTCAGAGTCGGCCCGGCGCCGGCGAAACATCTTCCCGGTGACCGGCATGGTGGAACCGGCCCCGGGTCCGGCAGCCGCGCCGCCGCGCCGCCGCGCCAAGTTCCGGGCCACTTCCGGCGCGCGGCGTTGCTGTCAGAGCGCCGATCACGCCCCCTGGACGCCCCGCCCCGGGCCCCGCCCCCAACGTGGCGTCGTCCTCTTCCGATTGGGCGGCCGAGGTGGGGGAGGCGGGGCGAGTTCTGCCTGGCCCCACGGCCCGGAGCGGCGCTGCTGAGGGCGTGCTTGACTGACAGGCGGCGGCGCGGTGGCGACGGCAGGTGAGTTCCGGGCCGCCGCCGGCTGCTTCGGAGGCTGGGCCTCTCCCAGCAGGGAAGACCCCCAGTCCCTCTCTGGGCCGTGGGGCCTGGCGCTGCTAGATGCGCGGAACGCCCAGCCAGGTGAGCGGAGCCCGGGATGCCCTGCTCGCCGCCGCCCCTCTCCCCGCCTCCGGCCGGCGCCTGGGGGGCCTCCCGGGCGCCCCGCATCGAGCCCCTGAGGGCCCGTGGCTTCGTCCGGACGGGGCCCGCCCTTGTCTGTTTTTTCTGCCGAGGCCTGACCCAGCGCTGAAAGCGTGCGCGTGGCGTCCTGAGGCGCTGACTTTTATTTTCTCCGCTTTGGGCCCTGACGTGCATTTTTTCCCGTTTAGGGACAAAAGATGACCACTCTCCCACGGTGGTGAATTTCAGTCGCAGCGCCAACTGCCTGGGTAGCAATGGCCTGAGGCCGCCTCTCCCCGAGAGACGCCTCGCCTCCGCTGACAGCCACTTGGAGGGTTGGAGACCAGGGCGCTCCTCCTCGGGCGCTTGCTGGCCTCCTTCCTACCTGACACAGGCCTTGTCTTCCTCCTACCAGGAGGACAGTAGCTCTGCCCTCCACACCTTCCACCCGCAGATGCTGTGAGGATAAAGTTTATATGAAAACGGGTGTCAGCAAATGCTTAGGAAATAGAAAAATGCACAAAATGCAAAAAAAAAAAAAAAAAAATGCTCATGGGACTTTAGGAACCTCTTAGTAATAGTTTTTCTCCTCTCCTCTCTATTCTCCTTTGAAAGAAGACCCGATTGTTAGTGCTTACCCCTGGGGCAGGCACTGGCGAAGCCTTACCTCCTTGATTTCTCCCAGCAGTCCTGGGAAGCAGGTTCAGTTGTTTTCCACTTCATGAACGAGGGTGCACAGCCTGAAGGTGGAGCAGGGGTCAGTGCAGGTGTCGGTCTGCTCCAGGGGTTGTGCAGTACCTGGCACAGTTGGCTTCTGTGGGTGTCTGCGGCTGCAGCTGCTGCGGCTCCCATTGGCTGTGGGAGGGGCTGATGGAGCCTCTTTTTTTCTGGAAGATCATTCTAAAGCAGGGCAACATTTCTGGAATTCCTTACTTTTCTCTGGATCAGTCTTCTCTGAGATTGTTGTTCTCTTTCTTGGACTGGGACAAATAAGATTCAGGGCTTCTTGAAACAGCCTTTTGGCTTCAGTCGAAAGCCATACATCAAAACTCTTAAGTCTTGCCCTCTGCATTCTGGTTCAGCCAAACCCAGATGTACATGGCACTCACTGGACACCGTGTCCTTGTCAACAGAAGGAGAGGCTCCTTGGGAATTGCTGCAGGAAGCCAGGAACTCAGGGTCTTCAGCTCTCACACTTTCAGAGGTGGCTCTGTTTGCCTGCTTAGCCCCCCTCCCATCTGGGGGTACTGGATACCATTTAGAAGCTGGGGTGTGGCTCAGTAGAAGAGCACTTGCCTAGTATGCATGAGGCCCTGGGTTCCAACCCCAGCACCACAAAAGAGTAATGCCCAAAAGTGGCAGTTGTCCATCTGACAGTGGGTGGCAGGACTGAGGGACTGCAGTCCCTCTGTCTTGTCAGGCAGTTTGAGGAATGAGACTGCTTCTCAGAAGGGGCCTCCAGGAAATTTAGGTTCTCTTACGTTTTAATTTTATTTGGGAGTTTGGTTGTTCAAAAAGCCTGGGTTTTGATTGGTTCACTAGCTTTTTGTAGCAATAGATGAAATCGTGACATGGTTCAGGGAACATGATGTCTGGATGGATTGGGATCCAGTAGAGTGATACAGTTCACAGCTCAGCCATAGTAGGTATTTAACAAATGCTTGTTGGACCAATTTATTTATTCAGGAGATATTTACTGTGGAGCATGCCTGTGAACTCCAGCTACTTGGGAGGCTGAGGCAAAAGAATTTCAAATTCAAGGCCAGTTCAGCAACTTAGCTCCTGTCTTTAAAAAAAAAAAAAAAAAAAAAAATTAAAAAGGACAGGGCCATAGCTCAGTGGTAGAGCACCCATGGGTTTAATTTCCAGTTTGAAGGAAAAAAAAGTAAAGAAAAAGGGATATTTACTGAGCATTTACTATGTGAGCAGACATTGCTTAAAATACATCAGTGAGCAAAAGAGACATAGATCCCAATTGTAGTGGAATTTTTTATTCTGATAACTTAGTAAATGAAGTATGTAAGTGTGTTAGGTAATAAATACTTTGGAAAAGAGAAAAAAATGGAATACTGCAAAGAAATGAGCCATGGAGGGGACCAAGTGGCAGATTTAAATTATTGTAATCTGGTTCATGCTCTCGTTGGCAATGTGCCAGGATGCAGTGAACTGAGCTACAGGCCCCAGGTTCAAGTCCCACTTCAGCCGGCTTGTGAGTCTGGAGGAGCCTTCCCTGCTGGGAGTCTGCTTCCTCCTTGGAGAACCTGCTTTGCCATATACTAGCTCTGTGACCTCTGGCATGAGCCTCTGACCTTCAGCTGTTTTGTGGCTTTAGGGTTTTTTTTTTTTTATTTTATTTTTTAGTTGTAGATGGACACAATACCTTTGTTTTTTATTTCTTTATTTTTATGTGGTGCTGAGAATTGAACCCAGTGCCTCACACATGCTAGGCAAGCTCTCTACCACTGAGCCACATCCCCAGCACCGGCTTAAGGCTTACATTCTAAGCTCAGGTTGTATAATGGGCGGTGGAAGAATCAAGCCTTTCTTAGTTTTTCAAGTTGGCAGGATAATACACTAAACCAAACACAGCTGGTTCACATTAGCATGAAAAGAGGGCACTTGGAGAAAATATGAAAGTTGACAACAGATGCTTAAAGACAGAAATGTGACAGTTCTCTTTGCTGTGAACAGAAATTAATTTGTATGTAGAAATTTCAGGGAAGCCAATTTTCATTTATTGTTAGGACTGAAACAACCAGAGTCATCTTCTGGGAAGAGGGTGATTTTATTGTCAATGACTGGGCTCCAAACGAGTTTGGACAGCCAGCCAACAGGGATTTTTATGGAGTACAGTCCCATCCTAAGAGGAGGATGCAGGCCAGGCTTGGTGGTCCATGCCTGTCATTCAAGCTACTCTGGAGGCTGAGACAGGAGGATCACAAATTCAAGGTCAATCTGGGCAATTTAGTGAGACCCTGTCTCAATTTTTTAAAAAAATATAAATAAAATAAAAAAAGAGTTGAGTTTGTAGCTTAGAGGTGGAGTGCCCCTTGGCCAATCTCCAGTGGGGGGTGGGGGCGGGAGAGATGTAGCGGGGCAGCACACCCGGCGGTAGAACGCCTGCCTTGCCTATGTTAGGCCCAAAGGATGATGAATGCTTCCTCAGTCCCTTTAAATCTCGAGATGGCTTGGCAGAAGCAGGGTGCAGATCTCACCACCTGAATAAAGAGGATCTCATTTCAAATCCTAGAAGTCAAGATCTTCCTGGCTCTTCGTTTCCATTGCCCATAATTGGGAGTGTAGCTTAGTGACCTCTAGGGTTTGTAGGTCTGAATTTCTGAGTTTCTGCTTACACTAGTGCCCCTACCCCAGTGCTGGAGGCTTCCTGTGAGCTGGGCCCGTAGTTTTCCCTAGCCAGACAACCCCCAGGGACTACCAGCCTGGGATAGCCCCAAACCTGGGTCAATTAGTGACTCTCCTGGAACCCAGAGCAGGGGGCAATGTCGGGCTTTGAGCTGTGCAAAGATACAGTCCTAGACTTGTGGACAATGAGCTGAGCGAAGACGCACTTTGTGACCATGACTCTGGAGAGGTCCTGGGAGACTGTGCTTGGAGCGTAAGTGTTTGGACCTGGGAGGTGGAGACCCCCTTGCCAGGGTGGCCAGGCCTTCAGGACACGGTGGAGTGGTGGTTCAGAGCATGGGCTTCAGGTCATTTTGCCCTGAGTTTGGACCCTGGCTCTGCGGCTCAGTGGCTGAGTGACCTCAGCGGGTTTCCTCGGCCTCTCTCAGCCTGGTGCCTCACCTTGAGTGATGGAGATGGATTCAGCTTGCCTCGCTGCTGCCCCCAGCACGGTGGTGAGGGTCCGCTGAGGTCACTGTGGGAGAACTCTGGACCTGGAGCTGTTGGAGTCAGAGCTGGTACTGGGGCCCTCAGGGCAGGGGCAAGGAGGGTCAGGCTGGGCAGAGCAGGAGGCCTGAAGATGTGGGGAGTGGGGTTGGTCGGTGCAGGAGGAGCCGGGGGTTCTGCCTCAGAGTCAGGGTGGTAGACCCTTCAGAAGGAAAGACAGTGTTTGGGGCTAGGAAGGAGAGGCGGGCAGGAGGGAGGGAAAGGGCGCAGGTCCTGAGGGGCCAAGGCTGTCATGGAGAGCTGCGTGGAGGGTGCAGGTGCTGGGACAGGGCTGTGACTGGCCAGTGTGGGGATCAGCCTAGGAGGACTGCAGGGGCATCTCCACAGGGCCATCTTCCCCGCTCTGAGGGACTAGCTCCTCTCTGGTAGGCGCAGGTGTAGCCAGAACCTCAGGGAAAATGATGGGCCCTCCCTAGGTGGCCGCTGAGGCCCCGCCCAGCCCTGCCCTGGTGGGAGGGGAAGCGCCTCCCTTTCATCTTGATAGTCTCAGCCAGAGCCCAGAGTGGTGGGCTCTTTGCCAGAGGAACCAGCCCTGCTCGTCCCCCTCACTCTCCTGCCCCAAGAGACGGGGACTAGTGGGTACCAGGGCAAGGTGCAGCCCTACCAGCTGCCCATGGGCCCAGCGGCTCTGAAGGGGGCCTGTACACAAACCCAGTTCTTTCAGCAGCATGGCTGGCCTCCCCTTTAGCCTTTCTTAAGTGCCTGCTATGTGCA